GGGGAACCCACACACAAAACCTACTTGAACAACAAATTGGGAGGATTAGCACATATTTTGGGGTAAGTACTTAGGTACAGAGGAATAGCTGCAGAAATTTAAAACCCTTTTAAAAAGTCCTGGATCCTGAATCGGCATCCCCCTTTGCAGGAATCATAGATAGTTTTAAAAAATCCAGGACAGGGCCCTCCCTGGTGGTGCAGCGGGTTAAAGCACAGCACTATGAGGCTAAAGCCACTTCAACATGAGTTTGATCATCCTCGGCCCCAGAGGTGACCCACATGACGTGGCAGACCACTCCTGACCTGCCCACTGCTCCCCTCAGCAGTGTCTTTCAGTTAATCTGTCTGTTCTGCTCCCTGTCTCTGGTGAATCCTCTCACCCCCCCTAAACCTCTGGCCTGTACCCCAGTGCTGTATGCATAAATAAATCTTGAAAAAAAAAAAATCCAGGACATGGGATGATAGGGAAGGTGGAGAATTCCAGAGAGAATCAAAAGAACTCATGAGTATTGAGCGACAGGTCTGTGGCCCAAGCCTCACACCCTCCAAATCTCAGGACAGAGTAAGGCTCTGCTATGGTAGCCGGGCTGTCCCTAAATGCTTTCACCTGCATCTCCCACCATCTGCCCAGCATGAACTAACCCAGCTGACAGCACCTCATTTCTCTGGGGTGCACTTAGGGGTACCCAGTAATGTCAGAGCATCACCACAACCCTGGAGATAACCACCCCGAGGGCCCTAAAAATAGTGTGCTTGGAGCCAAGGCAATGCCTGTGGCTTCCAGAACATTTTCCTAATTACTGAGGCAGTGATGGGAATGCCTTGGCTTTTTACTTCCTCTATCTGAAAAGACAGCATTCCTTCTTGCCCAGATGAGAATGTGACTGGGGAGACAGTGTCAGGCCTTCCTGTCTCTAGGCTGAGCCCACGACATGGGACAGAGCGATTAGCAACACGGAGGCCACACCCACGCCAGATGCGCGTTTATGAACCCAGCTGTCTTTTCGGATAAACAGCCAAGGCTCTCCCACCACTGCCTTAGGAATTAGGAAAATGCACTGGAAGCCACTGGCATTGCTTGGCTCCTTGCACACTTTCTTAGGGTCATGGGGGAACCAAGTTAACCCCAGGGTTGCAGTGGTGCGCTGACATTGCTGGATACCCTAAGTGCACCCCAGAGGAAGGCTTCAGGTTCTAGCTCCCTGCCGGTCGGTGACACCGCAGGTCTCAATGCTGCTAGCCCAGGAGTGCTGGTGGTTCAATCCCCCGTGCCAGCCAGCTTCCCTGCCTTATGACACTCACTCAGGCGGCACAGGCCGCTGCCAGGCCTGTGAGCCACCCTGACGGAGGCAGCCCTGCCTCACGCCAACCTGGGGCGGAGGACAGGCAGTGTTCAGCTCACAGCTAGGGCAGTTAGGACTCCCATCCAGGAAGTGGGCTCGGGTTTAGAGACAATTTTTCAGGAGGCAGTCAATGGTAAATTTGTTTCTTGAGGAATGGGTGGAAGACATTTTAACAAATATAGTCAAGTCTTATCTATAAATAGCCACAGGGATGAAAAATATTTTTTGGAAGGTTTGAGTCAGCATGTTTACATGCATGATTATTTACTTTGGAGTCTAATGACATTTTGTGACCCAAATCTCAGGGTTCTGAGTCCCTGTGTCCTTCCCACCCCACCAACCCATTTAAGTCCACATGGGACAATCACAAAGCAGTCAAGATTCTGTCCTTCATGCACTTAGAACACCCAAATATATTTGAGCATAAGCACAGATTTCTGACAACTGCTTTAAGATGTAGTTGTTCATGTTTTTATTAAAAGAATTTCTAAAAACATCTCAAAATTCCAATACTAAATCATGAGTTTGATGTTTTAGAATATTTTGTATACCACCTTGCTTCTAAAAATCCTGTTTGTGACCTCCCTGGTGGCACATGGGTTAAAGTCTCAGCACCATCAAACTATGGGCAGCCACTATGGCATCAGTGCGATCCCTCATCAGGTCACTGACGGACATGGTGTGACCTCTCCTGTCTCACCTGACGCTCCCTTCAGCAGTGTAGTCATTAGATCTGCCTG